TAGAGGTAGACCTAGATTAGATTACTGTTCGCAAATAGTTAAGGATGTGGGCTGTTCTAGTTTTAGGGAAATGCGAAGTTTAGCTCAGGATAGGAAAGAGTGGAGGTACGTGTCCAACCAGTCTAAGGACTGATGACCTTATGATGATGATGATGATGATACATTTTGGTTAAAAAAATTTACTTTTATCTAATATTGAAATGTGAGAAAATGGAGGATGATACGACTTTTTGGTTATTTTTTTCGGAATCAGCACACCAAATTACATAGAAATAAGTTAAAATTATTAAAAAAGTTTTTTCGTCGTTGGCCTGTGTAATCGAACCCAAACCCCTGGTTTTACCCACCAGTTCTCTAGCACTAAGCTACAAGGAGATGACAGCAGCAGACATTAGTTCGACGATTCTGTGGCCTACACCCTTAGCCTCGTTGCACATTACACGTTTTCGCCCGCACGATCAAAAGTCGTACGACTTTATATCGTGGTGCAGTTGCTTTCCCACTGTACGATTTTAAACGTAGGAATCACACGATTTGTAACCATACAAAAACATTATTCAGATACATACGCTCGTTGTCACCATTTCTGAGGAAAGTATTGTACAGTGACTATGAATCGGGGGCAAATTATAGCTTGGTTATTGTATCTAAAAAGACAAAGGCGTGAGCGCCTTCATTGGGTGCATCCTATTAATCCGAAATGTGAGGAAATGGGGCTATTCTACACCTCGTTTGAAGACCTGAGAAATGATGAACGGAAGTTTTTCAACTACTTTCGTATGTCAGCTGACTCCTTTGACGAACTGCACGGCAAACTGCAGAATGTCCTTCAACGGCAAAACACACAATTTAGAAATTGTATACAACTTATTGAAATGCTAGCTATAACTTTAAGGTAATAAGTGTCTTTAACACCGATTGCTTTTACTTCCCTTGCAGAGGGAGGTATTGTAATCTTAAAAAGTGTTTTGTGCAGTCGTAAGATAAAAAATTATCCGGAGACCGCTCGGAAGCTGCGTTAATGAACTACCGTTCTACTAGAATGTTTTAAATAAAACTAGTAGCGAAATTGGGTTGATGTGTTTAATTAGAAGGTTTCTTACATACTAACTAACAATATTAAATTTACTTAAAAACTAGAGAACGACTAACAAAGGGGGTGGAGTTTAAATGAAACATATCATGGTGGTGGATAAATGAAGGAATTTCCTGAATGTCGTCATAGACGAGAGGGTGTTCAACCAGATACAGAAAAGTTCTGAAAACAGGTATGAATGAGCTAACAAAGCCAGGTACTAGTGATAGAAAAACCTCATTTATGCTACCAGGAATTATTGAATTCATAACGTACATTTTGTCTGTATGACAATGAAATTATTCTAAAATATTATAAAACCAAATAATAAAGCAAAGGAATTTATGACTTAAAATGTTTGAACAAATGTTTGAAGTTGAACTGACCAAAGAAATGTAAATAAAGTAAATAATAACACTAAATCTAACTAAACGGAAAAGTTTTCGATTTAAAATGATTGTAAAAAATATAGATAATTATTAGCACTTAACATCCCGCCGCCCTTGAACCGATAGCGTTCAAAAGAACTCACACGCGCATATACCCAACACACACGCAGTTCTTCACTTTGGTCANTTCTTAATAAAGTTAAAATTTTCTCTTACAAACAATAGATTACTAAATATTAGATATATGTTTTTTTGTATTTTCTCTCTCTTCTCTCTGTAAAGTTTCTTGTATAGCTTTTTCTCCGATGCGAAGCATTCTGTTGCTCTCTGTTTACATTCCACCTTCCTTGCTATCGTTTCTCCATTTCTTTGATGCCCTGATGAAACTGTTCCCCTTGCTCTTCACTGACATCACCTAAGTTTGTAGGAAAGAAGTCAAGATGGTTGTGCAAAAAAGTGGACTTTAAGGCTCATCAGACAACCAAGATTTTTAAAATTGTTTATCATGTTAGACATGATAAGTTCATAGTTAGGATCTTTTACATTGCCCGAAAACTTCGTCACAACTTCTCTAAATGATATCCAAGCCTCTTTTTCCTCTGTACTCGTCGTTGCTTCGAAGTTGGTATCGAGAATCAATTTACGAACGAAAATCCCTTCTTTCAGTTTAGTTTCTGATAAATGAAGAAATTTTGTACATAAATATTTAAAACAATCACCAACTTAAGGCAAAGCTTTTACAAATTGTTTCTTTAAACCCAACTTAATGTGTAGTGATGGTAAAAGAATCTTTTTGGGGTCAACCAAAGTTGTATGCAAAATATTCTTCTGGCCGGATGTCAGAGTTTTTCTTAAAGGCCAAGAAAAGAAAAAAATGCGCAATTTATCAGAACTACCAACCTAATTACATTTTTTATTACTGAAAGCTTTATAACACTAGAAAATATTGCCAACATAAAAATATTTGTTATACAACAGGCAGTTATCGAGCTGGGGATGCAACGTAGAGAAGTAAATATTAGGAAGGGAGTCAGGCAGGGATGCACACTGTCACCGCTACTTTTTAATCTATACATCGAAGACGCCATCAACATCATTAAAGACAGTACAACTGTAGGGATAGATTAGTATGCTTAGATTTGCAGATGATATAGCAGTATTAGCATCTAGCAAGGAGGACCTAGAGATAGCTTTAAATAAAATGGAAGCGGTACTGACAGATCAGTACTGTATGAAAATAAATAAAAGTAAAACTAAAATACTG